CCAATGAGAGAAAAGTTGTATGTGCGGTAGTGTGGCTTTGATGAGTACGTACACACACACGCACACACACGTCGCTGGATCCTGCCTGGGTGTATGGCGGAATACCACGTGATCGGGACCGCAAAGATCAAAGGAGCCGGCAGAGAGTGGACCTACTAGTTATACTATGCACGTACGCTGCTGGATTTGGACCAAAGACATGGCGGGATACCACGTGATCGGGAGCAAAGATCAAAGGGTTCGACAGAGATTGGACCTACCAGTTATACCGTGGTTTTACTAGGATTCACATTTTTACAATCTCTAGTCTCATCTATACATCGATCAGTATTAAGCATCTAGTCAGATTTGATTTCCCGCGCGAACCCGGCCGCGATGTAGTGAGGCCCCTTTCCCCCCCCCCCTCTTTCGTTTTCCCGAGCTATGCTCGGGCGTTTCCGTGAGAGCGAGCGATCGTGGACGAGAACCATGGAGAATGTATAAAGGCCTTCACACATAAAATTCCGTAAGGACGTAAAACGTAAGCATAAGAAAATCGACCAATCACAGTCGAGAACGTAAGGCAATGACGCAAGCAGTAGCAAATCCAACCTGTTGATTTTCTTACGCTTACGTTTTACGTCCTTACGGAATTTTATGTGTGAAGGCCTTTAGGAGACCGAACTGCCCGTAATCAGAATGGGCCGATGTTTGTGCCCGCCAGACATTCTGAAAAGCAATACTGGGAGCGCTGTCATCAACTAACTCCATTCGCATTCGTACGTGACACATGGTTGTCATATGCATGAAGCTTTCGTGGGTATATTAATGATAGAGTACGAGAGGTTATATCAATTTCGAGACTATAATACGATATTCGTAAAACCGCGAATAATTTCAAGTTTCTTGCTCTTCGAACTACGATTACTGAAATATAAAAAATTGTTACTCGTACTTACCAGAATAAAAATTAATTCCTTTAAACTGCGTATTTCACAAGTTTCGAGTAGGCTCGATACGTCCGTAATAAGATGAGGAGATGGATTGTATATCTCTGAAACTTGTGAAAATTACAAAAGTGAGCGAATTCACAGGTTGAAATTAGAAATATTCTAGTATTCACTCACTTTTGTATTTTTCCTAAGTTTCAAAAATCGATCCCCAGATAACAAAGGTTATACGCTGTATCTACGAGCCAGTGAGATCAAGATCGGTAACTCATGAGCGAATTCTTAATCGCGTAAGGCGACGCCAGCGCTACAAGTGGCAAAATTTTGATTCACTGGATGGCAAAAATGTCGGCCCACTTTCGGTGACGTGATCCAGACCTAGTTCGGTCTCCTTATACATTCTCCATGACGAGAACGAAGAAGATTTCGCCCTTGTTCGCCATAGCCCGCCGTGGAAAGCACTCGTTTGTAACCCTGTATAGCCGTGTTAATAAAGGCTAATTATCATCGACGTTTTCTGGTCTGTCACACCTGAGTCCAGCCTCAACCTAAGCAGGTAAACTGAGAGGAACAAGATTTCCTCGACCACGTAGCCTCGACGCATTTGTACCATGGCAAAACGTGGGGGGGGCCATTTCAAGTAGGCCCTGTTACGAACAATCAGTTTCAGGCTGTAGCACACACAGACTTCTATATATACTATTAGATTAAAAAATACGAAAGTATCTAGTTTGTATAAATATCCATTTTAGTTGGCGCAATTCGATGATATCATTACTTTGGTGGAGACAATAAAAATGTATTCTTTTTCCGACAAAATACGTCCAAATAATTAAATTATATAATTCTTGATTGGATGGCGCTTATATAAATATATACTACTAGACTGCTACCTTCGAGCCGAAAAGTGAGACAAGAGTTCCGCCATGTCTTGTTAAGTAAACAAAGTAGTACGTAGAAGTCTGTGATACATACAACCTGAAACTCAATGATTTGTGTAGATGGGAAAAATGATGATGAGAATGCAGGTCCAGGCATTAATGAATAGGACTGTACGCGTGGCCCTCGGATGCTGGCGACTACGCGACCGAATAATGGCAGTCGAGCCGCGCATTAATACGTGATCCTCTATAGGATTTTTTATGGATTACGAAACATCCCGTAAACTCAGACTCGCTTTATTGATAATATCGTATGCGGGATATTTCGAGATGGTAGGCTCGGAAAATAAGGATCCAAATTTTCTGAAGGAGAAAACAAAATCGACCCCTTATTATTCGCTGTCAACGGTGATTTATTTTCATAAAAGTCAAACGAGTCCGCTACATGCCTCAACTCCTGGTAGATATTATATATTTTCTGCGTAAAAACACGTGAAAAATTACGTCGGGACGAGAACGCGATTATCTTTTTTATTTTATCTCCTGCGGAGGAAGTGATAAATTTCACGCGTGCCCTATCTTCGAGAAATATGTCTCACTTGGGAGATTTCTATACTTACGAAACACTCTCTTGGGAGATTTCCGTTTTCACAGTGCTTTGTTTCACGACGAAACTGAAGAGAAGCGCGCCAATCATGCCGCAAGAAACTCCGGGCATGCGACACCTCCCGATCAATGCTATATTCTTCCCCATCCGACGTGCAATAAAACATTCATAAACAAGATTGGCCATTTTTGTCGTGTTACGTCTAGCTTATCAATTTTCTACACTCGATACTACATTTATGCAGCATAATTGTAAATCCGCCCGTGCGTCGAGGTACACCAGATCGATTCTCATCTCGCATTAATGTTCAAAACCCTTTGTTTGCCTCATGAGAGACGTCCCTCATTAACTCTCGATGGCAATCCCGTCGAAACTTTCCTCCCCAAAAAGACAAAATTGAAAGAAGAAACTGGAATTGATTACACGGAACGCATTTTGTAAATTAAAACCTCATCATGTTGCATTCAGCTACTTAGAAATACATTCGCCGTGTGGGCATTCGGTGTCTGTGTGTGTGTGTGGGTGTGTATGTGTGCGTGTGTGTGCACGCGTGTGTATAGTGGAATATTCTATGTAGCTTGAATGAAATTGGATCCGCCCGGGCAAACCCGGAGAACGAAGAGAAGGAAGCTTCGCCAAGATTCTTCGACAGGGGCGAGGAAGAAAGATGGTTTCGTTCGAACGAATAATCAGGGAGGAACCTCCGGTAATCATTTCGTGCCAATCGAGTAGTTTCCTCGTGCAATCTCGGCCCTGGTGCACCTACGTGGCTTCTCCCTCTAAATCCGCGCACGTGATGCATCCGACTAACGACCCTCTCGGGGAGCCAAAACGTGTCTCTCGAATTAAGCACCCGGCACGGGGTAAATCGAGAAGGAACCCCGTAGGAATTATTTCTGTGCAATAAACGAATCGACTGCGCGCAAAACGGAATCTGCGAGAAGGGTTGCTTCCGCGCGTTGAACGAAAACATATTACGGGATTGAACGTGCTCGAGAAGAACCGAGAATTTATTATGGACGTTGTCATATATCTAAATAGAGACCGAGTAACTGCAGCTGTACATTGCATTTACTGTCTTCGTTCAGCAAGATGAATACCTTAGAGTCCAAAGAACACGGAGCAACCAGCTGAATACATTTTGTGATATCGCGCACGCGGAAGATTTAGAAAGATATTATTATCCTATGGCCTCCGCGCAGCATCTTTGCAGCACTCAAATTTACAGCCGTGTAATCAAACGGCGAAGGTGTTGTTCGACAAAAAAGTAGTTTTTTTTGTTTCTACGTATATTATAAACGTTTATTCGTCACATCGATCGCTTTTATTACATTATGCGTGTATCGTGCGCGTTAAAAATTATCAGCCCAATAGATAACGCGACGATTGTCCATTTTATGTTCCCCTTCAGCACGCAAGCACGTAACAGTTGTTCCATCTTCGCGCGTTGCGCCCGCGCCGGGCATTCGTTTTGCCGCGAGCGCCCAAGTTTCATTCCGAGCGAACTATCCCATCATTACACGTCAGCGAGTCAAAGAACCGGAGGATCACGATCGAGAGGACGGGGGAATAGAAAAGCGGGGAAGGTATTGCCAAAGTTCGACGAGCTACCCCGTCCACCCATTAGCGTGTCAGTCATTCCGGCCGTGTAATTAAATTCCGTGCGCCAATGTCGCCGCGCGGATCCCCCCCCCCCGCCCCCCGCCCTCCGCGAGCAAGTCTTTTTTTAAGCCGGCGCATCCATTCTCTCCCTCTCTCCGCCCTGCCCCTCCGCTTGATTCCTCGAAATCAGCTTGGCGCGTTCTGTGGACGGTATCAATATTTTCCCTGGGAAAAATGTCGGGTCAGCTCCCGGGAGACGCGGGGGGGTGGGACGCCGAGTTGCGCGGAGGGTGATATTCTTCCGGAGGGTCTCCTTGACATCGATTCTATCCATTTCCACGTTTTCCCGCATTTCTTACCGCCCTGCAGTCTCATTTTCAATTTATCCCTGGCGCCTTTTATCGCATTTTTCGTTCCTTCTCCTCCTCCTCCTCTTCCTCCTCCCCCCCCCTTCCACTCCACCCTCTCTCGTATCAGACGGAGAGTCCGGCGGCGAATGGACTCGCGCGAATACAACAGATAAAACGAAAGTTTGTATCGCCGTGGGGGCCGCTCGTTTAGAGTAGGAGACTGCGGAGGGGGGGATTGATTAATGGACTTCTTGCTGAAGGCGGATGTATAACCGGTGAGAAAAAAATTAGTCAGGAGGAGGCCAGTGGCACCGGAGAAAGCTGCCAACTCCGCACTGCTACGCTACGGCTGTACTGCGGCCGATTAATTGGTGCTGTTAGGCTCCGCGATCACATCTAGTCGCTTTAATTATTCCGAGATGACTCGCGCGAACGTCTCTTCTCGCCTTACCGAATCGAATTGACACTGTCGTTTGTACCAATTTGCATAATCCTGAAACAATTTGGGAGACGCAAAGCTTTTATCCGCCGCTCTAAGCTATAAATCAATGGCTGGTGAACACCGCGAAATAGAACCAGCGTCGTCGCGCTGCGCGTCTGTTCTAATTCTTTCTCTCTATGATTGTTACAGAGCGACATCATGGGACTGTGCAACGTCGCGCGAGAAGGGTCGTCGACTCAAGGAAATAAACTCCGAAAATTGTTTCGCTTAAGGAACACCGCGCCTGTACATCGTTCCTAATTGACAGATAGAGGAAGGGGGCCAGCGACGGGGGGCAACTAGAGAAGCGGGAATGAGAAGAGGGTCGGGCGGAAGACACGAAGCAGCGTTCGAAATTTACGAGTGAGTCGGTTTGCTTGCACGTCGTGGGGTCCAAGATGGTGTCTAGGGGCGGTCGTGCGCCGTAACAAATGGTTGAGCCGTGAACCCGCTCGCCGTGCAACGACACCGGAAACGGGCGGCAGCTATCCTGCGAGCGAGCCCGGGTGGTCCGCGAGAATTCGCGAGGACACGGATGTGAAGCTCGCCCCGGGCGTCTCCCGCGCGGCGAATTGCTCCGAGGCACGAAAGCCGAACGGCGCGAGTTGCGCTCGTTTACGACGAAATTACCCGGAGACAGGATGACTGTGAAATGTCGACGATGAGACGCCGCGCGTTTCGCGACGATTGCCCCGCGAGAGAACGCGCCGCGTCGCGATAACACGCGCTCGCGGATGTCCTGGGGATGACGAGGTGTCGCGCGTCCCGACGTTGAGATCTCGATAACGGCTGGGTCCATGGTGACCCGGCCAGATGGGTTAAAGAATCGCCACTCGCGATCGACGGCCTTGCTAGGTAGTCTCGTGCTGCTCGCGAAATGGCGATCGTCCCGCGTTCTCGAAGGTGCAACAAGTGGTGTCCAGTTCCTCAATGCTGAGACGTCATCCATGTTACCCGACGGACGGACGAGGGGATTTGATCCGGGGCCGATCAGGTTCGCGACCGGTTGGATCGAGACTCTCGAACGGGAGGGTCGCCGTTGTGTCCCGGAACGTGCGCGACGCCAGCGGGATTAAGCGGGTCTAATGAACTTTGTATTCCCGTCTCAAGTACGATCGTCTCGAAATTTTTTCGCGTCAGGATTCCCTTTGCCGGTCTAAGTAGATTTACCTCTGCCGCGGAAAAAACGTTCGACCAGCGCATCGAGAGTCGAGAGGTCCCGACTCGATGCCGTTCGTTAACTTCCCTCGTCAAAGGGAACTGGTTGATCGTGGAATCCAAAAGGTAGACGACGAGTAGCCCCCGAGCTGGGGGTTTAACCTGATTCCAACCACTGGTTTCCCACGAATCGGAGTATTCGCGTACTCGGATCCACCGATATCACCTTCGTCAGGAAGATACGTACAAGTTAATTCGCCCGAAACGAGAGAGAAGCTAGTGTTACAAATTAATATACGTATTAATGTTAGTTGAAACGACTCAATGTCGCGCGTCAATGCTCGAAGAGAGACTGCAAACGCGAGTCCATGGCGACGAAGGTGCTCTACGTTGTGCGGACGAGGGAAAACGGCCGGCTCGCCGGGGATCGTCGACAATTCTTGGAGCTGCTACCTGACCTCTCGCCGGCAGATCTGTTGACTGACGTAGCGGCATCGTTTGCACGCCGCGGGCAAACACGTCCCGCGACTCGCTTAAGAACGGGAACCTTGCGATAATCCACGTCGAGGCGTTGTCGCATCCGCAGAGACGTCGTCGAGTGAGACGATGGTGATGAAGATATCCGCGAGCGAAGCTGGCGTTCCTCTACTAGGCGCCGTCGGTCCGCGCTACGTCGTCAAGCAGGCGACGGTGAAGCGTTGCGTCCTGGCGCTGCTGCTCGTCTCCATCGCCAGTATATTCTACTACACTCACTACATCATCAGCAGTGGCCCGCTATCCAGGTAAGTTCCAGCCGATTTTCGCTGTAAAGCAGAAGCGTCATCGTTGATTAACGTTAACTTCGTTCCGCGACTAAGGCCCGGTTTCACCAACGTCGCTTAACTTTAAGCTTAGCTTCATTCGTTCTCTGTCTCCTTCCGACTGTTACTCCAGAAAGAGACAAACATGAATTCAACTGAGATTAAAGTTAAGCGACGTTTGGTGAAACCTGGCCTAAGCAGCAGGGTTGGCTGGAAAAATCCAGGGGGTGAAAACAACCATGGTAAATTCTAGCTTTTACCGTCCCGGACTTTATCCAACGGAATAAATTGGCAAAAATTATAAAAATCACTAATACTTGATTAAAATATATTTATATAAATATTAGTCATTTTTATGGTCTTTATGAAAAATGATGTTTGTTTGGAATACTAAATCATAGATATTAATCATTATTTTAAAAAGAAATCAATATAATAAGTTTTTAATTAAATTGTTTTATTGAAATTAATACATATTAATACATATTGAAATTAATACATATTTTTAAAACGAGAACTTCCGAGATACTAAATTTTATATTAATTTTTAGTTTATGCGGGAAACAACAGTGCTTCCTAAAAGTTTTCTACTTATCGTTTTTAATAGAGAAGGCCAGTTTTTGCTGGCGTTACTTCCGGAAAATACCGGTTTTTACCACTGGCATGGACTTATCCAAAAAATGTGGAATTTTGCCAACCCTGCTAAGTAGAGATGTTTTATTCCTAAATCTTGAATTTTAAATATACCGAGAGAGTAAACATTAGTGCACGGAGAGAATTTTCTCTTAACTCTGAAAATCATGTAAACGCGGAACAAGATGGTAATTCGAAGAATTTTGAGTTTTTTAAATTTCACTTACATTTTACTAGTAAAATGTACGGCAAAGTTTCAAAAATCTCACTCAAAGCTTCTTCAAAATGCTACGTTGTTCCACGATTGCGTAATTTTCATGGTAAATTTTAAAAGAAACCTCTCTCCGTGTACTCACGTGTATATGAAGTATTTCGCAGGTTTTCGTAACACATAATTTTTAACTTCAAACTAAAACGCCGCAGCGTGCGTACTTGTTCTCTTAAGATATTATAAAAATGCCTGTCGATTTACTGCGTTGACAAAGATTTATGTATCTGCTACAATATACACTCTATGAACATTTATACATAAGCTGTGACATGTTGGTTTGCAGTTTGATTGCTTGATAAGGACCTGATTCCTGGGTCGATACGTCGCATCTAATGTAACACTCTATCAATTATATTGCCAGTTGGATCAACTAAAGTCCTAATCTTATTTATTCATCACTGGTGACTTGAAGTATACCCCTCTACTTCATAATTTTTAACTTTTAAAGATATAAGGTAAAAAAATGATTTAGATGACTGGAATGGGTTGAAAATAAGCTCTTGAATTCTAAGCCTGAAAAACTGTTCCGTCTGCTTGAAAATATTCACAGTATTCACGTAAACAGAATAATGCCTAATTAGCACAAGATTTTTACGCGCGGCATCTGCCGCCCGCGAAACTTTCTACCCCTGGCAAGCTTTTTCGCGCAATAATTCGACGTGTTCGTAGAAAAACGTAGCTTGTGCAACTTGTTCAGATCGTTGACTCCCGTCGTTCTTGGCCGTCGAGAATGATCGCGGAATGAATGAGCGTGAACTTTGCACACGGCTGTGTAGAATAACGTAGACTTGTAAGTACACGCGGCTTCATAACAGTGCTGCAATAATAGCATGCAAATGCAAGGCAAATACGCCGTTTAAGGCCGCGGGAGCGAGTTTACAAGGGGCGATTAGTATTGAATGGCGAGAGACGAGACGTTTGACGATAGGTGAGGCAGAATGGCGACACTTTTAATTACTTTGTATGCAATCAAGCGACGCAAAGCAGACCAATTAGAGCCGCGAGTTGGCTGACCGTCGCGCCGGCCAGTTCGTAACTCTGAAATTGCGTGGTCGCGTGCAACGTGGCTGGTAAGGGGATCCTTCCAGCAGAAGTCTCGCGCGTCGCAGACAATTTCCATTGACGTCTTTTTTCCTTCGCGCGCTAACGACGCGGAAAAGTGGACTCGGTACAAACGAACGCGATTGGCAATTATTCGCGGGAAATCTTTTATTCACGTAGAGACGCGCTACA